ATTCTGGTCCCAGTTATAGTCCTAAGTTGAGGACTACCTGTATATTGTACAGCAACCTGTGTCATAATGTCACATTAAAAACTTTAACTGTCAACGCCGCTAACGTCGGATGTTCTTGCTTTGACAACATGCAGCCATTTTCCTTTACTTTATGTTTTACTCTTAAAGTTAGAATTAGAGGATACTGGGGGGGGGCAGGAGGAGGAATGTGCATGGGGGATTAGTTAGACATAACAACACTGTATAAGGGTGAGAACCAAGGCCGTTTGTAATAAGAGATGATAAGACATGGCGGGATGTAGAACTGGTGGGAAAGCCCGCATTTCAAACTAATTGGAGAATGTGATTTAGGACTGTTAGTTAGAGGAGGGAATTGTGCTTTGATACTATGTGCTTAGGGGAGGGGAAGTCAGATTTTGGCTTGGACTATGTACGCACAGATGTGTTGCTGCTCAAATAAAGATTCTTTAAGGTAAACAATGCCTCGAAGTTCTTTGAAGAGTTTCATCTGTCAGAACCATGACATTAACTTGACAACACTGTTTAGGAGCAGTTGTGTGGATCACACACACACATCGGTGGGGAACACTGACAGAACCGTCAGTCTCTCCTCTGATTTCTCCACTTAGCTAAAGCCAGATCCGAAAATGCAGAATTTGAAAATTGCTAAAGCCCGAGGCGGGAAGATGGGCTACATGTCAGATTAATGGTAAAATAGTGGAGCAAGAATAGATGCGCTCATTATCTTTGGGAGACACAATTTAGAGAAATGAGGAACTATCCAGAGCTCAGATGATTTGCAAAATGTACAAACCATAGAGATCATGCTTGGTGGAACGCTGTTGGAAAAATAGAAGGAACTACTGCAAAGGTTATGTCTGGGGCAGCTAAACGAGCATTATCTTCCCAGACCCCTTGTTGAAGCTTAATTAAAGCTCTTACAGAGCTTGGAATACACATGGACTGCTGCATGAGAGTGTTGTTTAAAGAAAGAAGTTTGGACTTGAGCCAGGTCAGAGAGCAGACACATTTAAAAAGAAATCACAATTCAGAACTGCAATTAAAAACTATGCCGTGATGAGGATGGGTATTCCGTTTGAAATTGCCCAGAGAACAAGAGTGAAGTATTTCCCCCCTCAGTTTCTCAGTTTGCAAACAGGAACTGTTTGCACCATCAAACTGGGGGATTATTTTAGAATAAATTTTAATATAAAGTTCACACTAAAAAAAAGAGACATGTCTTTGGGTCTGCATTTCGCTTCCAGATTTATCCATGTTTCTTTACCTACTGTACAAGTGTGGCAAGCAAATTTTTCCTACAAGCTTGCATATTGTGAAATACACCAGCATTTCTGTAGCAATATTTATCTCTCTCTCTTTTTTTTTTTTGGTTTGTGATTAGCAAGCTAGTGCTGTAAGATCTTGCAAATGCCAAATGTCAGATATCACTAACTTTTTGTTTATATATATGGTGCGTCTATAGTAAGCTTCTCTTCAAAAATAAATCTAAACAAATTACATCTGCTTCCGTACCGGGAAGATGCTATTTTGTGAATTTCCTGTTTTAATGGCATCAAGTTGGTCTAGAAAGGAAAGAAACACCGGACCTTTGCTTGCTGCATTTCAAACTCTGCAAATCATTGGTTTCCTAGCCTAAAATATGGCATTTTCTATATATTAAACTATATGCACATTCACAGCCCCAAGCAACCCACCACATATTTATTTACTTGTTAGATTTTTTTTTATCCTGCCTTTATTACTCAACACGAAATCAAATATTACTCAAGTAACTGTTCCTGACAGTTAGAACAATTAACCAGTGGAACAACCTGCCTCCAGAAGCTGTTAGTGCTCCAACAATGGAAGTTTTTAAGAAGAGACTGGACAGCCATTTGTATGAACTGCTATAGGGTTTCCTGCCTGAGCAGGGGGTTGGACTAGATGACCTCCAAGGTCTCTTCCAACTCTATTATTGTTATTGTTTCACCTAATGTGTTTTAGTAAACTAGAGAAAATACAGACTTACAACAGTTCACTTAGTGGCCGTTCAAACGACCACTGAAAAATGTGACTTACGACCGTTTTTCACAGTTACAACCTTTGCAGCATCCCCATGATTCTGTGATCAAAATTCCAATGCTTGGCGACTGGTTCCTATTTATGACCATTGCTGTGTCCCCCAGATCACGTGATCCCCTTTCGGGAACTTCTGACAAGCAAAATCAATGGGGAATCCATCGGGCTACTAACTTACCAGCTGCAGTGGATTCATTTAACAACGGTAGCAAGAGAGATCGTAAAATGGGGCAAAACTCACTTAACAAATTCTCACTTAACAACAGAAACTGCGGGCTCCATTGTTGTCGTAAGTCGAGGACTATCTGTACCGATTTGGTGAAGATCCATGGTTGCGGCTACGTCACGTGGGAAGAAGAATTGCAGTCAATTTGGGCTTCTTTTAAAATATTGCAATGCTGAAAAATGGAAATCATCTATGAATACCTATAGACCTGTGGTGGCGAACCTATGGCACGTGTGCCAGAGTAGCACTCAGAGCCCTCTCTGTGGGCACATGTGCCGTTGCCCCAGCCCTGCCTCCCCCTGTGCCCCCTCCTTACCAGCAGCCCCCTGGAGGAGAGTTGCCCCCAGGCACGGCCCGCACGGAGCACCGCAGCCAAGGACATGGCAGCCAGGCAGTGTAGACAAGACCCTGCCCTCGTGCCCCGTCACACGCAGATGATGCTGCGGGGCGCGGGCGAAGGGTGTGGCCGCCATGGTGCTGCTGGGCCACCTGGGCAATCTGCGGCGGGCCGTGGAGGCAGTGGGTAACCCTGCGGGCAGGCGGGGCAGGGGGCAGGGTGGGGTGGATGGGTTTTGGGCACTTGGTCTCTTAAAGATTCACCATCACTGCTATAGACAATAATTTTTTTCTAGGAATAGCATGGGTAGTTCCCGAGTTCGTTTAACAATCATTCAGAGTTACAACGGCGTTTAAAAAAATGACTTCTGACATTGTTCACACTTATGACTGTTTGCAGCATCTCCCTAGTCACGTGATCAAAATTCAGACGCTTGGCAACTGGTTCCTATTTATGACGGTTGTAGTGTCGCGAGGTCACGTGACCCCCTTTTGCGATCTTCTGACGAGCAACGTCAATGGGGAAGCCAGATTCACTTCGTAACCGTGATAGTAGTAACTTAACAACTGCAACGATTCACTTAACAACCGTGGCAAGTAAAGTTGTAAAACGGGGCAAAACTCATTTAACAAGTGTCTCGCTTAGCAACATAAATGTTGGGCTCAGTTGTGTGATTGTAAGTTGTGGAGTAGCTGTGCTAGCAATTTAAGGGAGGAGGAAAACCATTAATAGGTACGGAAGGATGTCAATACATGCCCAGTCATCCATTTTTAAAAGGGAAATGCTCAGGAATAATCAACCTTAACCACAGCAAAAAAAAAAGTTACTCCAAATATGAGAATCTCCCTACAGCCAAGCCAATTTTTATAGGAATATGAAAGGAAAACAGAGGAACTCTTTGCAATGTCATTATCGCCTGAATGCAGACCCATGCATGGATTTTTTGTTTTTAAGAGGCATTAGTGCAGATGTTGAGATTTAAGCAAAGACACGATAGCAATCTTTAAATATCTGAAAGGCTTTCATATGGAAAACAGATTTGTCCTCTGCTGTTCGGTGGGGCAAGACTCGGGCTGGGCGAAAAAAAATTGCCTGCCGAAAGCCATCTTTGGTTAAACTTTAGAACTTAAATTCCTAATATGGCATTGCAAAATCTGAGGGCCCAAACGACCTCAGTGCCCCAGTTGCCTCTGAATACTCATTTTTTAATGCCACAGAAGGGAAATGTTATAAATGCACGAGAGATCATCATACTAAGGGTGTTTAATATAACTTTTAATGAAATGTTCGTTTAAATTAAGTCAAAATTAACAAAATCATGGCTAGGCTGCCTTCTTTATTTCAGTCCCGTTGATTATGTAATGAAAACTCCTTAGGTCATTGGGTTTTTTTAAAGCTTATTTTGTATTTCTGGAGAATTTTGGTTTTAAGATGGAAAGAAGACAGTAACATTCCTTGTAAAGACATGAAATTGTGCCATGAAAAGTCTCCACTTCCCTCCATCCCACAGAGTGAACACACAAGGACATGAGGGAAAGGCCTGTGAAACAGAGATGTGGTAATGCAGGAAGAGACGAGAAAGGCTGCTGGATGTCGGGATAATCAGCTCCAGATCCGCAAGCATTTTTAATTGTTCAGTGATTGTGATAGCAAGATGACTAGCCCCCACCCTCAGCTCCAGAGTGGGGAAATTAGGTGGAAAATTCCAAGTTCTACAGCTGGGATGGAGAAAGCATGAGATCAGCAGGCCAGGAATTAGGCTGGGAAGGACTTGAACTTACTCAATTGTTCCAAGATTCCTAACTGATTCATTACTGATTGTAAGTGGGTGAGTTGTTTGTACTACAGTGGGGGGGGAGGAGGAGGAGGAGGAGGAGGAGAAGAAGAAGAAGAGGAAGAGGAAGAGGAAGAGGAAGAGGAAGAGGAAGAAGAAGAGGAAGAAGAAGAAGAAGAAGAAGAAGAAGAAGAAGAAGAAGAAGAAGAAGAAGAAGAAGAAGAAGAAGAAGAAGAAGAAGAAGAAGAAGAAGAAGAAGAAGAAGAAGAAGAAGAAGAAGAAGAAGAAGAAAGCATTCTACAGTTGTACAATAATACCGTGCCCTTGATGAAAAAAATTTAATTATTCTGTGGAGGCTGTCTTTAAAAAAATCTACCAATTGCCCGTGTAGCATCAACCTTCTATTCTTCTAGATGTGTGATGAATACATCACCTAGAACGTCCCGTCAATCTGGCTGTGTATGGCTTGGAAATTCTAGGAGTTGTAGACCTGGCCAAAGCTGAGTAAATGTGTTTCTCCTCTCCCACCAAACAGCTCAGCTTTTTTTTTTTGAGAAGCCCACCCAGCCTTCCAAGACCACCCATCAAAAGGTCTGCAGGATGAAACGGATCCAGGGGATGTAATTGGCAATGAGGGTATAGACATCCGGAAACCACCGATCACCACATCTCTTTCCGTTGAAGGAGACGATGCCCAGAACGTGTTTCCCGCACACTAAAGGGCCTCCTGAGTCACCCTACAAAAAAAGGAAGAGATGGCAAAGCACAAGGTCTCAGTCATGGCCCTTGGGCAAATGGCTCCAAGCCCCATCCCCATGTCCCCCCCCCTTGCAGTAACATGACATCAAGCCTCAAATAATAACATTAATGACAAAAATGTCAAATCCAGTCTAAATGGCTGTCCACTCTCTTCTTAAAAACTTCCAGTATTGGAGCATTCACCGCTTCTGGAGGCAGGTTGTTCCACTGGTTAATTGTTCTAACTGTCAGGAAATTTCTCCTTAGTTCTAGGTTGCTTCTCACTTTGGTTAGTTTCCATCCGTTGCTTCTTGTCCTGCCTTCAGGTGCTTTGGAGAATAGCTTGACTCCCTCTTCTTTGGGGCAGCCCCTGAGATTATTGGAACACTGCTATCATATCACCCCTAGTCCTTCTCTTCATTAAACTGGACATACCCAATTCCAGCAACCGTTCTTTATATGTTTTAGCCTCCAGTCCCCTGATCATCTCTGTTGCTTTTCTCTGCTCTCTTTCTACAGTCTCAACATCTTTTTTACATCATGGTGACCAAAACTGGATGCAGTGTTCCAAGGCATTGTAAAGTGGTATTAACACTTTACGTGATCGTGATTCTATCTCTCTGTTAACGCAGCCTAGCACTGTGTTGACTTGGCAGCTGCAGCACACTGCTGGCTCATATTTAAGTGATTGTCCACTACTACTGTTGAGCCAAGTACCACCTATACCAGGGGTCTTCAAACTTGGCCCTTTTATGACTTGTGGACTTCAACTCCCAGAATTCCTCAGCCAATCATGCCTGGCTGAGGAATTCTGGGAGTTGAAGTCCACAAGTCATAAAAGGGCCAAGTTTGAAAACCCCTGACCTATACTATACCTGTGCATTTGGTTTTTCTTGGCTAAATGTAGAACCTTACTTTTTTCACCATTGAATTTCATTTTGTTAGATAGCGCCCAGTGTTCAAGCCTGTCAAGATCCTTCTGTATCTTAAGCCTATCTTCCGGAGTGTTGGCTATTCCTGCCAGCTTGGTGTTGTCTGCAAATTTGATGAGTTCCCCATCTATCCCCTCATCCAAATCATTGATGAAGATGTTGAAGAGCAATGGGCCCAGAACAGAGCCCTGGGGCACCCCACTACACACTTCCCTCCATGTAGATGCAGTTCCATTGAGGACCACACGCTGAGTACTGCTGGTCAGCCAGCCAGGAATAATAGATTTTGGTAATCCCCAAGGACAATGGAATCAAGGCAAAAGAAGAAGAAAAACCCAGATGGTAGAGAGATAATGATCAGCATGGGTAGATTAGATCCTGCAAAGTCACTCCTGTAGTCATTCATTCATTCATTCATTCATTCATCATATCGATACAGGTAGTTCTCAACTTACAACAGTTTACTTAGTGACCATTCGAAGTCACAACAGCTCTGTAAAGTGATTTATGACCATTTCTCACACTTACGACCGTTGCAGCGTCCCCATGATCACGTGATCAAAATTCAGACATTTGGCAACGGGCATGTATTTATGGCGGTTGCAGTGTCCCAGGTTCATGTGATCAGCTTTTGTGACCTTCTGACAAGCTAAGCCAGGGGTAGGCCACCTTGGCTCTTTTATGACTTGTGGACTTCAACTCCCAGAATTCCTGAGGCAGCATGGCTCAGCTTGGAAACCTCTCCCTTTCCCCTCAGCATGGCTGGCTCAGGAATTCTGGGAGTTGAAGTCCACCAGTCATAAAAGAGCCAAGGTTGCCTACCCCTGAGCTAAGCCAATGGGAAAGCCAGATTCACTTAAACAACGGTGTTACTAACTTAACTGGTTCCTTTAACAGCTGTGGCAAGCAAGGTCACAAAATGGAGCAACGCTCACTTAACAAATGTTTCACTCAGCAACAGGGCCTCAATTGCGGTCCTACGTTGAGGACTACCTGTATTATTTTTCCTTTGTTTTCATATACTTCGCTGTACATTGCCAACAGGGACAGTTAATAAGTAGAGTGAACCAATCGGTTTAATCCAGGGGTTCTCAAGCTTGGCCACTTTAAGACTTGTGGACTTCAACTCCCAGAATTCCCCAGCCAGCATGGCTGGCTGGGGAATTCTGGGAGTTGAAGTCCACAAGTCTTAAAGTGGCCAAGCTTGAGGAGCCCTGGTTTAATCCATCAACATTTGACCAACGGCCTAATGGATGACAGCATTAGCCCTTTGTTGATCACATTCTCAGCTTCGCAATTTTACCCTTGCAGTGTTGCAGTCTCGGACCAAACATGGCATATCGAACTCCTCAGCATTCCGAGTTTCTATTTTGGGAAAGTCCCCCCAGGGCTCACCGAGCAGAAACCACGCAGGACGGGACTGGTGCTGGCTGCGCACACCATGTTCTTGGAGACGTGTCCTTCCCACGAGTCGTTGCAAGCTTTCCTGTCCACAATGGTGGTGTTGGCTTCCATGAGTTCAGTGGGGACAGTCGCATAATTTGTGATGTCCCCCCAGCCAAGGACGTGGCACGGGAGTCCAGGGCAAGGATCGTTGTTGGCTTGAGGTAACTTGATCCGCCGGACATTCTTGTTGAAAATGGCGGATCTATTCAACTGCAGGAAGAGAGAGAAAAGAAGAGATGGGCTGCCAAGGCCGGTGTTGCATTTTCACCATGATTCATCTGCAAAGTATGAACCACAAAGAGGAGCAGGGTCAACCTATTCTTCAAAGCACCTGAAGGCAGGACAAGAAGCAGCGGATGGAAACTAATCAAGGAGAGAAGCAATCTGCAACTAAGGAGAAATTTCCTGACAGAACAATTAATCCGTGGAACAACCTGCCTCCAGGACAGCAATAGCAACAGCACTCAGACTTATATACCGCTTCACAGTGCTTTACACCCTCTCTAAAAGGTTCACAGAGTCAGCCTATTGCCCCCGAAAATCTGGGTCTTCACTTTACCGACCTCAGAAGGATGGAAGGCTGAGTCAACCTTGAGCCGGTGAGAATCGAACTGCTGGCAGCCGGCAGTCAGCAGATGTAGCCTGCAGTACTGCATTCTAACCACTGTGCCCCCACAGCTCATAGGTTATGGGTGCTCCAACTCTGGAGGTTTTTAAGAAGAGATTGGACAATCATTTGTCTAATATGGTATAATGCAGGGGTCCTCAAACTTGGCCACTTTAAGACTTGTGGACTTCAACTCCCAGAATTCCTCAGCCAGACACGCTGGCTGAGGAATTCTGGGAGTTGAAGTCCACAAGTCTTAAAGTGGCCCAGTTTGAGGACCCCTGGTATAGAGTTTCCTGCTTGAGCAGAGGACATCCAAGGTCCCTTCCAACTCTGTTATTCTGTTTTTCAGTTGTGTGCACAGGAGGCATGTAAAAATATCAAGATAGGGACCACTACTTTGTGAATGAAGCCCAGCCCATTTTTACCTGTAGGGTGTGACTTTTTTGAACCCCACATTTAGGTGTAACCATAGGTATGGTCCAAAGTTCCTAAGCAATACAGATAATCCTCGACTTATAACCACAACTGAACCCAATATTTCTGTTGCTAAGCGAGACAGTTGATTAAGTGAGCTTTGCCCTGTTTTACGACCTTTCTCACCACAGTTGTTAAGTGAATCACTGCAGTTGTTAAGTTAGTAACATGGTTGTTAAGTGAATCTGGCTCCCCCATTGACTCTAGCTAGTCAGAAGCTCTCAAAAGGGGAATCACATGATCCCGGGACAGTGCAACTGTCAAATACATGCCAGTTGCCAAGCGTTCAAATTTTGATCACATGACCGTGGGGATGCTGCAGCTGTCATAAGTAGGAAAACTGGTCAAAGCCATTTTTTTCAGTGTTGTTGTAATTTTGAGCAGTCACTAAATGAATGGTTATAAGTCGAGGACTACCGCTGTAGACTTGTTCATGGTAGTCCCACTGATTCAAACGCCTTCCTCACCAAGTTGCTTTAGTGAATTCTCCTCATTAAACTAGACATACTCAATAGTTGCAGGAACTGGGTATGTCTAGTTTAATGAGGAGAAGGACGAGGGGGGACATGATAGCAGTGTTCCAATATCTCAGGGGCTGCCCCAAAGAAGAGGGAGTCAAGCTATTCTCCAAAGCGCCTGAAGGCAGGACAAGAAGCAACGGATGGAAACTAATCAAGGAGAGAAGCAACCTAGAACTAAGGAGAAACTTCCTGACAGTTCGAACAATTAACTAGTGGAACAACCTGCCTCAAGAAGCGGTGAATGCTCCAACACTGGAAGTTTTTAAGAAGAGACTGGACAGCCATTTGTCTGAAATGGTATAGGTTCTCCTGCTTGAGCAGGGGGCTGGACTAGATGATCTCCAAGGTCCCTTCCAGCTTTATTCTATTCTATTCTATTCTATTCTAAATCCCAACTCATCTAAGCACAGCTTTGTGCCTTACTCTTTAAAGATTCTTTTCCCACAACGTTACATAAGTTTTATTTGCAGTTTTTATGGCCCACAGTTTGTTCATGCAAAGTGATCCAAAAGGTTTGGGAGGTCTAGAGAGAAATGTTGAGGGGGAGCACTTCAGAAGCTGTTCAAAACAACTGAATGTTGTGCCACACCATCCAGATGTTGGCCATCTGACGTGTCCTGGTCTGTGGAGCTATTTAGCCATTTCCACCCTTCTGGAACTTAAGTATATCACACATGTTGTCTGCAATTATTTCTTCCTTGCGGAAACCAAGATCGCCACCTAGTGTTTACCTTTTAATACACAGAACAATGGAAAACAGACCCCCGGTTTTGATTAATAATTTGGGGGTAGTGGTAGTGTGTTATGGTAGTGTGTTATGAGAGTTTGGGAATTGAGAGACAGGAAATATATCTTGCACTGATGAACAACTAGAATTTCAGTCCCCAATTGCTTGAAATCTGAAGAATTTTCCCAATCAAGCTTAGAAGACAGCAGAACATAGATTAGCCAAGGTTGACTACCCCTGGATTAGATGGCTGATTTGGTATAAGGTGGCTTCCTAGATGCTTTTTAAAATTTATAATTTATTGAGACTCCAGTAAGTAACTGGAATCTTACTTTATTTTGCAGTAGTGAATAATAGTTCAGCAAAAGAGCATATTTGTATTAATGCAAATAGCCTTCAGCATAATTTCTCACGTCTTGACCATTTAGTTAATTAAATATTTTTTAAAGCATCAGTTTTGCAAATGAAAAGCAAGATTTGTAACTGATCTGGCTGAATAAGTTGGCAAACCCTTCCCTAGGAAAGGAAGGGAGGGGAGGGGAGGGGAGGGGAAGGGAAGGAAGGAATAGCAATAGCAATAGCAATAGCAATAGCACTTAGACTTATATACCACTTTACAGTCCTCTCTAAGCGGTTTACAGAGTCAGCCTATTGCCCCCAACAATCTAGGTCCTTTATTTTACCAATCTCGGAAGGATGGCAGGCTGAGTCAACCTGAGCCAGTGAGAATCGAACTGCTGGCAATCCGCAGAATTAGCCTGCGATACTGCATTGTAACCCCTGCATCTTCATGGCTCTTCCTTCCACCAAGGAAGGAAGGAAGGAAGGAAGGAAGGAAGGAAGGAAGGAAGGAAGGAAGGAAGGAAGGAAGGAAGGAAGGCCTGGCCTTAGGATCTTGCACTAAACATTAATATCCTTTAACTGAGACTTTTATCAAAAAAAAACATTTCTTTGCAATGTGCGGTCGCAAAATAATATAATGCTATTCTTCTTCTGCCATTATATACCCAGACAGGTGCCTGTTTCTCTCCCCACACTCACTTTGAGTAAACGGATGTCATTTTTCACTGTCTCGGGATTGAAAAGTGGGTGAGCAATGGAGTTCTTGATTCCAAAGATTTGCTGGGAGGCCTCTGGCTTCTTGAGTGAATGGGCACCGAGGATGACACGAAACTCTGCAGACCGCCTGCCAGGATAAGTTGAGAAAAGATTAGAAGTGGCAATATTGATCCCTACTGCATAAGACAATTTCCACAAGAAAAAGAAACATAACCTCTTGTGGGAAGTCAGCCCCCCAGAGAAGGAAATATTAAAAGGGCAGGAAAATAGATTTCCTCAAAGGATCTTAAAGAGGCTGAAAAGCATGCCCAGTTTTTATTAATAGCCCCAAGTCTCCCTCCCCCAAGCAGAAACCAGCTCTGTAGAAATGCAGATGTAATAATCCATTCAGGAAGGTTGGAGCCCTCCAGCTAGAAGATTAAGAAGACAAAGACACCTAAAATCTGCATACCCCACCCAAACTCTAAGACAGGACATAATAGGATTAACCCACAGATGCCAAAGGGGCACACTCAGACTCAGGTCAAAATACACGACACAGAAAATACAAAACCTCAAACAGGAACAGGAAACAACCTCAAGAGCCCCAGAGGGTATAAAAACCCATTCCCTACATGTGCTCTTTCTCTCTTTTCTTCCAGAGCCATCTTTCTGTCTGGCTCTCCTCTTCAATAAACTGCAACCTTCTTGCTAAAGCAGTCGCCATGTTGTTTATTCCCGGCTTGGACTGAACCATGACGAAGACTTTTCCTTCAACACTCTCTTCAGGAGAAACTTAGTTTTCGGGAAATAGGGCAATACAGGTAGTCCTCAACTTACGACTATAATTGAGCCCCGAGTTTCTGTTATTAAGTGAAAACAATTGTCAAGTGAGTTCTGCCCCATTTTACAACCTTTCTTGCCATAGTTGTTAAGTGAATCACTGCAGCTGATAAGTTAGTAACATGTTAAGTGAATCTGGCTTCCCCCTTGACTGATTTTGAGACGGTCCCAAAAGGTGATCACATGACCTTGGGATACAAGCAACGGTCATAATTAGGAACCAGTTGCCAAGCATCTGAATTCTGATCACATGATCACATGGGAATGCTGCAATGGTTGTAACTGTGAAAAACGGTCATAAGTCACATTATTCAGGGCCGTTGTAACTTTGAACGGTCACTAAACGAACTGTTGTAAGTCAAGGAGTACCTTTATGTGCACACACTGATTTTAAAGTGGAGTTTGGCCCTTTAGTGAACTCACAGTTACGTTAGCCGTAAACGTCAGCAGATCCATCTGCCTGGTTCGCTTTACCCGAACAGAATCCGAGCTGGATCCTCAAAATCTACTATTTGTTTATGTACACAAACAAAAATAGCATTTGAGGAGCCCCTTAAGAAGGGGGAGGATTCCTATGGCTAGAAAGACGAATCAAAGAGAAAGGAATGTGATATATAATTTTGAATACATATTAGCAAGAAGAAGGCTATTGAGTGATTAATTAATATATGGTTTATGATAGTTAACTATTATCTATTATTGTTTGTTAAATACATGAACCCAGACATTATGCTGTTTGCTAAATATTGAGAATGTTATTTGGAAAAACCCCAACCCCAACACTAACCTTAATCCTAACACTAACCAGATCCCAACCCCAACCCCACCTTATTCCTAACTCCATAGAAACTAATAAAAACTATACAAAAAAAAGGTGGAGGATTCCTTTATACAGGTAGTCCTCGACTTACAATTGTTCCTTTAGTGAACATTCAAAGTTACAATGGCAATGGAAAAAAGGGACTTATGACCGTTTTTCATACTTACGACCTTTGCAGCATCCCCAGGGTCACGTGATCAAAATTCGGGCACTTGGCAACTGGCATATAATGTAATGGTCATGTAATACCTTTCATAACTTTCCCAGCTGGCTTCTGAAAAAGGAAAATCAATGGGGGAAGCCAGCTTTGCTTAACAACTGCATGTTTCACTTAATGACTGCAGTGATTTGTTTAACAACCGTGGCAAAAAAAAAGATTGGAAAATGGGGTACACAGCTCACTTCACTGTGTTGCTTAGCAGTGGAAATTTTGGGCTTCATTGTGGTCATAAGTTGAGGATCCCCTGTACAGAGTTAAACCATATTGGGTTTGGAATGAGTTCTTTCACTGACTAACAGCCTTTGATCCATCGCTGATGCAACGTACATGCTCAGAGGTTCTAGCATGTAGCGTGCAACATCCGATAATTTCTTAGTGTGATCTCATTAATGCTCCTCTACCTATTTAAGAGATGTGTTTTTCATATTAAGATGAGTCTACAAGTTACTAAAGTTAAAGTTCATTAAAGAAAGAATGAGAACTAAGGAAAAACTTCCCGATAGTGAGAACAATTAATCAGTGGAACGGCTTGCCTCCAGAAGCTGTGAATGCTCCAATACTGGAAGTTTTTAAGAAGAGACTGGACAGCCATTTGTCTGAAATGGTATAGGATCTCTGGCTTGAATAAGGGGTTAGTCTAGAAGACCTCCAAGATCCCTTCCAACCCCATTATTCTAGGTTCTAAGTCAATGTATGATAAAAGAGAATCTTTGCTCTTGGCATGTTTGAACCAGTTCTCTTATCAGGGTCTACATAGCTTTCTTTATTACTTCAAGAATTAAAAACATTAATCAAAGAAACTCCTAGTTACTGAAAACACTCATCAAAGAAGCCCTCTCTGCTGCTGCCACCATCAATCTGTACCTCAGTCGTTGTATTAAGTTAGGCAAACATTTAGGCAAACCCATCATGTGAGAAACATTGTGCAAACGCAGAAAAGGATTTAGAAGTGTTTCTCAACCTTGGCCACTTTAAGACGTATGGACTTCAATCCCCAGAATTCCCCAACCATTATTCTAGATCAGGGGTAGGCAACCGTGGCTCTTTTATGACTCGTGGACTTCAACTCCCAGAATTCCTGAGCCAGCATGACTCAGCTTTGAAACCTCTCCCTTTCCCCTCAGCATGGCTGGCTCAGGAATTCTGGGAGTTGAAGTCCACGAGTCATAAAAGAGCTAAAGTTGCCTACCCCTGTTCTAGATACTCTCAGGCTATTTGGTACAAATTGGAACTCTAATCCAGCTGACTTTGCATGCAGGCTTACTGGAGAATAATAATCCCCCTGAGAGGGAATAATTTGATCTGTTTGTGATCTAGTAGTTGCAACACATCACACTGGTTGTTATTTACCAACAGAAGAGAATAGAAGACCAATAGAAGTAGCTCAAGGCTGAGCTGTGGGATCCTTGGTGCTCTCTGACCTTGATTGTTTGCCTGCAGATGTTTCATGACCCAGCTAGGTAACATCATCAGTGCTAGAAGGGAGCAGGGTAAGTTCTTACTTACTTGGGGATCTGACAATGAGCTGCTGTCATCACCCAGTTCCGTCCCACCAAGAACCCACCACAGAGGTGTCTGTTCTCCTGTTGGATGGAGGCCATAAAGGGCCGAGAATGGGGTTTCACTTCCTTGCCTCCAATGACCCACGTTCTCCGGATCCCAGCAGCAAAACAAAGACCTACACAAAGAAGCACAAAGGGAGGAAATGATTGATTAAGGACTACCGGTAAGTTACTTAGTCCCCGGATAAAGGGAATAAAGCAGGGGTCTGCAAACCTGGCCCTTTTATGACTTGTGGACTTCAACTCCCAGAATTCCTCAGCCAGCGTGCCTGGCTGAGGAATTCTGGGAGTTGAAGTCCACAGGTCATAAAAGGGCCAAGTTTGCAGACCCCTGGATTAAAGAATCGTAAAAAGAAAAAAAAATGTCCTGTCTAGAGCCAGGGTGGCGCAATGGTTAGAATGCAGCATTGTAGGCTAATTCTGCTGACTGCCGACTGCCAGCAGTTCGGCAGTTCGATTCTCACAGGCTCAAGGTTGACTCAGCCTCCCATCCTTCTGAGGTTGGTAAAAGGAGGACCCAGATTGTTGGGGACAACAGGCTGACTCTGTGAACTGCTTAGAGAGGCTGTAAAGCACTGTGAAGTGGCATTTAAGTCTAATTGCTTTTGCTATTGCTATATGTAGGCCACGTTGCTACGACCTGAATGTATCAAGATTAGAAACACTGCCTCATTGTTTACTGCTTCATTATATAAAGGTTATTTTAGTATCCTGGCTGAGTGGCAGGGTGGCCTAGAGGTATAGATGCTGACCTCCCACTAGAAAAGTTAAGAGTTCAATCCCAGGCCAGCAACAGATGTATCTGCTGTGAACTCTGCCTAGGCCTTAGGAAGGCCTAAATGCTCAGCTCCATTCAGCTGACTCGAATAAAGGGATTAAAGGGTCATAAAAAGAAAAAAAATGTCCTGTCTAGGATTGGTGACTTTTTTCCTCAGTGAAATCATTGTATTCTCTCTCTCTCTCTCTCTCTCTCTCTCTCTCTGTATGTGTGAAAAGTCACAATGGCAGCTATGATTGCACAATTAAAGCCTTCCAGCTTTTCAAGAAAACACACATACACATACCCATACCCACACCCACATCCTGAATACCCCTAGCTAGCAGAAATTCAACAACTATCCAGATGCATCTGCAGAATCCAGCAAAAAAGTCAAGATGATGGCTGCATCACATACACACACAAACCAGGCGGAGCTTCCATTGTACCATTGTAGGCACCGTCTCTCCCTTTGTCAGGAAGACTGCGATAACCATATGTTAAAAAAAACTAAACATTTATTCCCCTTCCAGGTTGCCCCAAATTTGCTATTTAAATCCTCTAATTGACTTTGAACAAGGGTTGTGTTGACTCAGACCTATAGGTGCTATAGGTAGTCCTCGATTTACAACCACAATGGAGTCCCAAATTTTGGTTGCTAAGCAAGACAGTTGTTGTGGGCTGTGTCCCATTTTATGACATTTTTTGCCACGGTTGTTAAGCAAATCACTGCAGTTGCTAGGTGAATTGTGTGGTCATATTAAGCAAATCTGCCTTCCCCGGTTGACTTTGCTTGTCAGAAGTTGAGTGGGAAGGTTATAAATGGTGATCACGTGACCCCAGGATAGTGCAACTGTCATAAATACATGCCAGTTTCCAAGTGCCTGAATTTTGATCCCTTGACCATGGGGATGCTGCAATGTCACTTTTTTTCAGTGCATTTGTAATTTTAAATGATCATTAAACCAATTGTTGCAAGTCAAAGACTACCTATAAAAAATGCCCCAGAGAAGCCCTCAACATTTTACCACAGGACAGAATGGAACTCTCCTCACAATCAAACTGTTTACAACCCGTCTGTAGGGGCAATCGTAAGGTTAGTTATTTAAGCAACGGCTTCACGTTGCTTCCTCATGGTTAAATTTGTGATTTGTGGTGAAACCTACATTGCTTTTTATGTATTACTAAAGCTGACTCGTCTATACCAGTGTTTCTCAACCAGACCGCTTGAAGATATGCGGACTTCAATTAACAAAATTTCCCAGCTAACGCTACTAAAGAACCGATCAGTTTTTTTTAACGAAATGTTAGCAATAATACGCAAATAACATAAAACAGTTGGTAAGGGACGGTGCCAAAGGACACATTAGAAGGATATATAATGTTTTATTAGAATTGGATTCAGAAACTGAGTTAGTTAAAGATTGTATGATCAAATGGGCCCAAAATATAGGAGAAACAATATCTATGGATACTTGGGAGTTGATCTGGGTGAGAAATGTGAAGTTTACGCAAGCTCAAAATCTACGTGAGAATTTCTNNNTGGCAAAGATTTCGGCTTATTTGAAGAATTACTCAAATGAACAATTTTTATTAATATGGAGAAGATGGATTGTTTATATTCAAAAGAAGCATAGAGTGGTGGAATATAATTTAGGTTTTTAGAAAAAATTTTCTTTTTTTTTTCTTTTATATATTTTACCTACTCATGTAGAATAATATACTTTGTGGAGTTAGAGATATTAATATTTGTTTACTTATATCTGAATATTATCCTGGGATTAGGTTTGGGAAGTCCGGGGGGGTGGGGGGTGGGGGGTCTTTCATATAGCATTGTGTAACATTTGTGATGTTTTTTTTATGATGAAAAATAATAAAAATTTTATAATGGGGAAAAAAAACACATAAAACAGTTGGTTAAGGCCCCAGGCTAGAAAGCGGGAGATCTTGAGTTCAAGTCCTGCCTTACCCATGAAAACTAGCTGGGTGACTTTGGACCCGTCCTTCTCTCTCAGCCCAACCTTCCTCACAAGGTTGTTGTGGTGGGGAAAATAGGAGGAGGAGAGTCTATTGCAAGGGTAGGCAACCTTGGCTCTTTTATGACTCGTGGACTTCAACTCCCAGAATTCCTGAGCCAGCATGGCTCAGCTTGGAAACATTTCCCTTTCCCCTCAGCATGGCTGGCTCAGGAATTCTGGGAGTTGAAGTCCACGAGTCATAAAAGAGCCCAGGTTGCCTACCCCTGGTCTATTGGATACGTTCATTGCCTGGAGACATTTGTTATAATAATAAAGGCAAGATACAGATTAAATAAACTAAATTAAATGATATTCTGAATCTAACGAAAAGAAATGTTAGCTTTACCTGCCTGGAGGAGGACCCAAAGGACCAGCCATGTCCTCAGGAGTTGCAAGCCTGCTCTCCCCATCTTTTCAGATCTGGAGAAAAAACTGCAAGCCTCCTCAGCCTTAAAACAGTGACCTGTTGCCCAATGAAGAAATGAAATAAAGGAAGCCTCTTTCACTTTTTGGAACACGCTTGCAGCAGCAAATCCTTTGAAGAGGGCTTGAATGTGTCATGCAATGGGTGGTTGATAGCCTGCCTGGGTCTGCTTCAACTGCCCAAGAGAGTTACTCAAGCAGTTAGCTGGTGTGGTTTCTTTGGGTAACCCCTTCCCTAAAAGGCTTGGGGTAAAGAGGAAGAAGCAACTACCCCATGCCGGATTTACAACTTGGATCAAGAAAGGAACAAAGTAGATAAGCCACCTCTGCTTCTGCATCCGTGACACAAGAACTTTGATCTGGACAGCCGTGGCATTGTAGGAATTTAACCAACTGGTCTTACAGTATTGGAAAAACTCACCAGGCTCTGAAACTTCTCCAAAATGGGATGAGTCATCTGTGCTGCTTGGGAAGGACGTTTGAGATGCTGTCCAGCCTTGCCTAAGCGTCCAAGTGACCAAGATTTGCTAGATAAGAAACAGAGGCAGGTCTAGTTCTCTTGGTATTGGATGAATATTGCGTCCAGTTTTGATTGCCATGATATGAAAAAGATGCTGAGACTCTACAAAGAGTCCAGAGAAGAGCAACAAAGATGATCAGGGGACTGGAGACTAAAACCTATGAAGAACGGTTGCTGGAATCGCGTATATCCAGTTTAATGAAAAGAAGGACTAGGAGTGACATGATAGCAGTGTTCCAATATCTCAGGGGTTGCCACAAAGAAGAGGGAGTCAAGCTATTCTCCAAAGCACCTGAAGGCAGGACAAGAAGCAATGGATGGAAACTAACCAAAGAGAGAAGCAACCTAGAACTAAGGAGGAATTTCCTGACAGTGAGAACAATTAATCAGTGGAACAACCTGCCTCCAAAAGTTGTAAATGTTCCAATACTGGAAGTTTTTAAGAAGAGACCGGACAGCCATTTGTCTGAAATGGTATAGAGTTTCCTGACTGAGCAGGAGTTGGACTAGATTAGAAGACCTCCAAGGTCCCTTCTAACTCTGTTGTTGTTGTCATTGTCGTTGTCATTGTTGTTGTTGTTATCATTATATACACATATGCATATGCATATAGATATAGATACACATACACATGCACATATACATGCACTTATATATATATACATACACACACACATATATACACATACATATACACACACACATATACATACACATGCACATGTACATACACATAGACACATACATGCACATATACATACACATGCACATACACCTACACATGCACATATACGTATATACATAGGTCCTGCTACACCTTCTAATCTCTTTGGGCAGAAAAAAAGAGGAGTGGAATCAAAGTGACATCAAATTTCAATACACTGAAGCCTGAACTTATTTTAGTTCACCCTTTGGGTCCCCCAGCCATATACATCTCAGTGTTCAAAAGCTCAAGGACTCTTCCCCCCCACCATGAGGAAAAAACCTGGCAGAGTGAAAAACCTGGCAGAGTGAACTAAATAGGAAGACATAAACCAGCTCTTGAAACTGGAGACGTGTGTGTGTGTGTGTATGTGTGTGTGTGTGTGTGTGTGTGTTCACAAGGACCAGCTCCGAGAGTGGATGAGACTAATGGACTAGGTCTGCTCCCTATCTCATGGTTCAATCGCTTCCTCATTCTGCTGTAGCTTGAGGAAATATCTCCTGCAGGGAGATCAAGACATCTGGAGAGCAGCCCGTTGAGCAGGCCAACCGCTATCTTCATTTCAGTCTCCAGAGCATTTCCTGCACCGTTGAAAGCCATGAAGATGGGTTTTTCTGATCACGGAAGGGATGTCGTAACCTCCAAGATGTCCAG